TGTCAGCTCGGAAGTGAGGGCACTCTGCAGCGTGGGAATCTCTAACGTGGGCAGAGTTTTACCATCATCATCCGCAGGGTCACTGGTTGAACGCAACTCAGACAGACGCAAGAATGGGCCGGAGTCGGTGGAGGAAGTATAATTATTCCCATTACTCCATGGATTCACGCTGCTGGAGTCCCTGGCTCTATCAGCCCGTGTTACCTTTATCCCCGCTTTTCGCATAAACTCCCTGTGCTGCTCCATCTTCTCTCTTTCCTCTTCCAGCCGGCGAACCCGGCGTTTGCTCTCACATTGGCTGTGGGTTCTGGCGGCGGACAGTCTCCGTGGGGCCTTCTTCTGCCAAGCTAGATTAGCTGGATGAGCATTCTTCTGAAAGATTTTATCTTCCATCGCGTTAGATACGTTATCCAGCTTTGAATTCAGCGGATGGCGTCGGAAGGCTTCTAGCTCGTCAGAAATCTTTTTAAGTACCGAGTAGCTTCTCGACTCTTGAGCTTCTTTCAATCGTTTCAATTCATCCCAGGTGTCCAGAATGGGTTGGTTTGTAGACTTTGTGCCAGTTTCGGCTGGAACCTGGGATCTAGGGTAGGAAGGTTTCTTCTGTTTTGCAGGTTTCTTCGCTTGGTGCTCATTTGAAGGGATTGCTGTATCTGGAGGCGTGAGTTCAGTCCCCTTTGGTGCTACTTTAGCCTCATGTAGTAACCGCGTCCTCGGTCGGGGAACCGCACTTCTGACTTCGACATCAGGTGGCGGAGATTCTCGACTAGACTGGGTTGTGAGTCTTTTTGTCCCCGTCGTCGTCCTGCTACGCGATCGCGTTCTCGTTCCCAAAGATGAACTGGTTCGTCTGCTTCTACTCCCCTCCCTTTTTCTGCTTATACCACCAGAATCAGGAATCTGATCCGATTTCGTTGGAAGTTTACGCGTTCTCCTCACAGTGCTATAGGGCAGAGCTGGGGCACGTTGCTGCACCTTTGCACGAACGTCTCCACTCGGCCGGACACGTCTAGTAACCGAAGGACGTGATTCTGATAAGTTTAGCGAACTCGATGGGCGTCTGAGTTTGCTGTTAGGCCGTCTGTTCTTTTCTGTTGTGGTGTTTAGTGGCTCTGTCTTCTTCTTCGTAACCCTTGGTTTCGTCGTGCTCTTTGTGGATGAATCAACACTAATATCACCCCTGACGGGCTTTTTCGGCAGTTTCTCTACGTTGGTATTTTCGAGGGTATCGGTCAGGCCGTTTCCGCTGCTGGCACTGCTACTGCTGCTACTAACGCTTCTTGAGAGCCATCTCCGACGTTGTGGACCAAAGGCGCCAGAAGTGGTCCTTGGCAGGGTGCTACGTGAATTGCATTCGCTCTTCTCGACTGGTGGTTCTGACGGTTGAACCGGTCGAACTTTTCGCTCCGCTTTTTCTACTCTACTAGCAGCAGTCTCACTGTGAAGCCAGTCAGCTATCCAGGAATCCCAGGACTGGTAGTTTAAAAGGCGCTCTCGCCCAACGTCCATGCCTCGTCGGACGCCGCGACAGCT